TTTTTGTCAATAAACAATGTTGTATATTATAAGTGTCGTAATCTTGTTTATAATCAAACTTCGTTTTCCTTCGAACACATCGATTGCTAATTTCATTAATGTATTTTGTAGTTAATTTTAACATTATATTGTTATTATGTTTTAGTATGAAGGCTAGGAGGTTCTTTTCATCGATCCATCACACCTATATAGTAAACTGCACACTAAAGTGTACACATTTTTAATTAAAAGAAACAGCTAGTATTTTTTGAAAATTCTTTATTTCCTCAACATTTCACCTTACATCTGGAGATGGATGCCCTACTGAATACTGTGCTTATGTTCAGTATGATGTCTATTTCTTAATAATGCTGTAAATTGAAACATTGAGGAAATGAAGAATAGATTTGCTATTTATTTTCATTAAACTTCACACCTATGTGTTTGAAACTTATTATTACAAGAAACAATGGCTTGGTTGTAGTAGCTCACCGCTACTGTATCTAAGAATTTATTATCGTAAATGAAGTGCCTTAGAAGTAATTTTATATCAAGCTCTTCCTCATGAGATTTTGTACATATTACTGTCTTAATTATATGATGTTGCACTTAAGTTAAACAGATAAGTAACTAAGCAATGTTAGGATGTAGTATTTTGATGTCAGAAACAGTATGTAAACTATAATTGTCTTCACAGTTTATTGTACTATACATAACCACCTGTTGTTACTTTCTACTTCACATTGTTCAAAATTGTGTAATTTCAATAGACCTTAAGTTAAACAGATAAGTAACTAAGCAATGTTAGGATGTAGTATTTTGATGTTAGAAACAGTATGTAAACTATAATTGTCTTCACAGTTTATTGTACTATACATAACCACCTGTTGTTACTTTCTACTTCACATTGTTCAAAATTGTGTAATTTCAATAGACCCCAAATGTTCTGATAAGACATTCATATAGAATCCCAAAAGCAACATTTTGTGGTAACAGTGCTTTTATTTTCATTTTAAACTATGAAATATTCATTTGAAATCCTGTAGCATTTACTTTATTTTACACATCTACATTTGGTTTTAATACTTTTAATTGCATACCAAATTGGTTAATTAAAAAACAAAAGATTAATGTGAGGTAATTAGATGATTATAATTATTTGTAAAGGAGGGTTCTTAAACCTTATATACATTTTACTATTCTTTCAAAAACATGCTTAGTTAATAGAAATGTTTATTGTTTTTTATTCGTCTCATCTGTAATATTGTTTGAAAAATGGAGAATAATTTATCTGTGAGAGAACGTGTATTTACAATAATATGAAACTTGTTATTTATTAAAACAGCCATTTACTTTGCATTTTACATAATCTTAAACAGTCTTTTGTGTTCATATAATGTCAGCATTTATATTGTTTTACTGTACAAATAGTGATTGTTGTTTCTTGGGGTTACTTAGCCATTTGTAATACAACAATAAAGATATTCACATGTAGTTTATTAATTAATTTATTGATACAAGTAATACATCTATAATGGTTTTCCAAAGCACTAAACATCATCCTCAGAAAGTAACAAAACTGTGTAATATTGACATGTAATAATATCCTCTTTTACGATCATATTGTGCTTGAATATTCAGTTTTTGTAAGACATTTTCCTGTGGTAATGTTCTCTGAAAGTTCCGTTTGAACATCGATTTTCTCAACATGTTTTAAAGTTAGTTTATTGATATATATGATTAAATCAGGAAGTTCTTTGTATAAAGGTTTGATACTTTACAAATCTTGTAATTTGTTTTTATCAATAAAGAATTCATTTTGTGTTTATGCATGTAGCTTATAAATTATTTTTAGATTGGTAAATTTTACAAAACATAAACAATATATTTTGTGCTTATATTTGTTCTAGGGAAATCTGTACGTGAAGTGCATCATGTAATGTTTTTATAATGGATAAGTTTCAAGGGTTTCTTGATAAGTTAACTGTTAATGACACATTAACATTTAAAGTGAATGTGAGTACTGCATGAAAAAACAAGTAAAAATTGTTTTTTTACCTTGTATTATTATAGTGGAAGGTTCTGGTATGTGAATGGTGGAGGAAATTAGCAGAAAGGTTCCCTAAATTGCCATGAAATTTTAGAATGTTAATGTTAAACAACTGTCTAGAGATAATCTTAGTTTTAGGATGAAAAAAATTGTAAACAAACCAACGTGGACCCAGTGTTATTGCCAAAAGTTAATTAGCTGAATAATAAGCCTAAATAACACTAAATAGTTGTTATGAAGAATGTAATATTTTGTTGTAATATTAAAGTTGCTATATATTTTTGAATATATAAACCTTTTGCACCAATTAAAAATGTTAACATTAATAGGTATGATGTAGATTGAAGTTGCATTGGAATAATTTTGTATTTTATAATGGGTAGTATCCTTTTTTTATAGTAACCCTAGAAAATTCAAGATATTCCATTTGTATGATAAATAAAAATTAAACAGAATATTAGTAGATTTTATGTTAATTTTTTTGTTACAATAATTTTTCTTGTGTAGTAAAGTGTGTTTATGTTTAAGTTTTAATTATATTCACTTGTATGTCCAGATATACAATAAAATGATAGATCTTATTCTAATTGTAACATTACTGTGCATTTTCTTGTTACAAAATGTACAAATGTTGTAACACAGTTGTAAAGTGTAATATCGAAAATTCTTGGTGTAACAGAGGTAACAAGCATTGTCGAATGATCGGAAATTTCCCATGAACCAAACAAATAGGTGCTAAACATGTTGACTTTAGCTGTATACCACTGCATTAGCATTCACATATAGTTCATGTAAGTTGCTGTTAACCCTCTATATAAACCATAGTATCTAGAGCAACCAAAGTCAGGGAACATAATAAGCCACAAGACCTACAATCTCTAAAGATAGAATATAAACAACAAGTTATGCAGAAAATGTGTTGTAAGTTTTAGAAACGGTTTAAAAAGGTTTACAACCACTTAATGTTGGGTAAAACGCATTGTAGACAAACGCAAAACGTTTTCATATAAAAGTAAAGCCCCAAATGTGCCTTTTAAAATAACGTAATGTTATTAAACCGGTGGATAATATGTTGTGACATAAACCTTTAACCTGAAGGTAGAAACGTGTAAATATAAACTAATAATAGTACATGTTTTAGAACTGACATTGTAATATTAGTGAAAAAATAATCGTAACAGGCATCCACAAGCAAGAAGGCTTTTATCGGTTGGGGTTACAAAATCGGCAGTAGTCATCCATATGCCACTCATCATAATCATTAATTGTAAAATGAATAGTTCTATTTCATTTACTTCCTCAGCAGAAGCTTCAATAAAAACAACACTACAGCTTGTAATAAGACCAATTTACTCGCTTTGAATAGTTTCTTTAATTTTTAGCAAATAATGAACAAAACGTTATGTACATATGCTTCTATTTAGTTAATTCTGTGAATTTATTGTGAAAATATTTTTTCACACGGTTTCTGAGAAGTACAGTATTCACACAACCGGTTTATCATCATAACATGAAAATTAATTGAAGTCAATCATTTTACGTTTTCTGGTAGCTGATTTGTTAAGATTGGTAAATAGTTTAACATGTACCTTTTTATATTTTACAATTACACACCAAGTAGTAGAATTAATAACCTTTCTTGCTCTAACGACGAAAATAAAAACATGAAATTATTCAGAAACTTAAAGGTTATTTTATTATAACAGTTTATAACAACTCAATTTTGACTTCACTCGTAAATTCCAAGAACTACTAATGAATACCTTCCTGTTAACACTGGTTGCTTTTGACCAACTTAAAAAGACGACGACGACTAGCTTGCTGGTTCGACAGATCCACCGAATAACAGCAAGATGATAATAATTGGTGTTAAAAAATAAACTATATTGTGTTATTAATCCTTACCGTAATTCTGATTTGTAAATGACTTAAATAAAATTGATAATATCTTAGCCGGCCTTATGAGTGCTGATACTATAAAATAGGCTACGTCGACATTGGGTGCAGAAGTAGCGTAGTTGGCGTATTCTCATCAACTTTCACACACAAGTTCTTAGAATTTCCTATTATTATTTCAATTTTACTAATTCACTATATTTAAAACGTTCGTAATTAGAAAGCAATCTGATTTGAGGTTTTTACAAACTGAAGTAATATGTGTATAAGGAATATATTTTTATGTAATATTTTAATCAATGATATATGTACATTGGCATCAATCAGCAACGCTTATTCAATGTTAAGATATTACAGGATTATAACTGTTATTCGGTGTTAAGGTATTACAGGATTGTTGCTGTTTATGCGTCTCGAATTTATTCGTTGCTTACGTGTTGTATATGATAATTTTAACATTTTATACGAAGTAGAGCGACAGGATCCAAATATTTCCCTTGTAAATAATCCCTCTTAAGAAAAACAAAATAACGACCTTTTTATACTGCTTATGATTCGATGTTAGAATTTTCCTTGGGACCTTCTTCCTTTTCAATTTTAAGTTTGAGGTCTTTTTTGTTTTTTCGCTTATTTTCCTTGTCTTTTTCATCATCCAGTATATCTTCACTAGAAGCACGCCTTTTATGAACTTCAGCTATTTCCGTTTTGGCCACTTCCGGTGCGAGGCTATCTTGCATGAGACTATCAACATCCAATCCTATGGTGGTCCCAATACGAACTTTAGCTTTTTCAAACGTGGCTGATAGTTTTTCTTGAACGACATTGATACACATAGACGTTAATGCAAGCCCAAAAAGAAGATAGATAAACGTGGCCATCATGTAAATGGGATGATCAGGCACGTAGTCTCCAAACCCAATGGTACTCATAGAAATGAAGACAAAATAGAATGCCTCAAAAAATGTCCAGTGGCTCTCCCACAAGGTGAATATCAGAGCTCCAATCATTATGTAAAGAAATAACAAAATTAAAGCCAAGGAAATGGGAAGGTTGAACTCGTCATCCACCTCGAATGGTGGAGGTTCTTCCCCCGCAGACCCAGGTGTTGTAGCAGCTTCTGTATTCACTGGTTCAGGTGGTGGATTTGGAAGCTCACCTCCTGATTTCTTAGTTTCATCGTCTTTCATTTCCTTTGACTTTTTATCAGGAGATTCTTCTCTTTTTCGAGTAGCTGCAAGATAGGGAGCGTTGACTGTTTTCCACGCAAAAGCCATATACTGAAAATAGATATTAATAAAAAGCTCATAAAATCAGAAAATTACACTCATGTTCGTATACACATACGCATTTATAATACTAAAGAATTTACATGCTGAAGTTGAGAACACAAATTTTGACTAAAAAGTTGTCTGTGATTTTATAGAGTGGAGTAGTCTGAGTACAAGATGATTTTTATATTAGGATTAAAATACTTTTTCATCTTCCAGTTTCACATTTCATTTCCACAATAACCTCTAGAACCTCCTAAGTAAATATCAATTAGAGCCGTGTCTAGGCCAATCTACTGTTATTAAAGTTAGATCTTGAAGAAGGTGAGGAGTCACCCCTTGGATCATCAAGTTTAAGGGGAATTTTCAAATGATATAATAGCTTCCTCTTGTGGTTAAATTTGGATTTAAACTCTGATAACCGGTTAGAATGTTTTCTTATTTTCATGAAATGGATGTTAACCTAGTAAACGAGAGTTTTTTTTCTTGTTTACCTCCGACTTATGAAAAGTGTATATGGGGTGCTTTTGGTGGCAGAGATAAAAAGTTTCAGATTATATACTTTCAACATAAAATTACTGTGAAAGAAATATTTCTCAATCACTGTTATACACATAATCACCATATTTTAAAGAATTGGAAAATATTAGGAAATTATTTTAAATTATTGGGCTTCTGTTGTTCTCTCTTATACGTTTGTTTCATTTAGCTTGTCTTGATTTTCTTAATTTTCATTTTCAAGAAGAGCCGATATCAAAAGTACACAAATTCAAGGGTTTGTAATGTAATTTTAATGATTTTATAACTGCGCATAAGGAATGTGGCTATCTTTCTGCGAGCCCCCCCCCCCTCCCAGTGGCACAGCGGTATGTCTGCGGACTCACAACGCTAGAATCCGGGTTTCGATACCCGTGGTGGGCAAAGCACAGATAGCCCATTGTGTAGCTTTGTGCTTAATTACAAACAAACAATCTTTCTGCGATCATATAAATTTACCCTTTTCCACCGTGTCTACAAATGAATCGGTGTTGATTCAGGCACGGGCCCTTAATGTTTACCTTATCACTTTGATTTTGGTTGTAACAAATGTTTGAAGAAACTTTTCAAATATCTTTTTGTAGATGTTACTCCAACAAAAACAAAATAAATATTAATTTAATTATATAAGATAAGTATGTAATAAATATTCTAATAAATTAAATTTAACAAAAGACAAAACCGATATATCCTACATCTAAGATGATGACTGAAATGAAAAAAAAATGTTAAAGTAAGAGACATAAGAGTATATGTAGTCTACACACACTACGTACTGTTGCGTCAGTGAGGTCACGTGACTAGTATCACGCCACTTCTTTCTCGAACCTTCCTGAGATTACTAGATTGGGGGTAGTCAGGTATATATAAGATGGTGACAATGTGACGGGACAATGTGTAGGTAGTGAG